CCGTGGTTGGAGCGGCACCTGCTGGTAGATTTTACTATCTCTAACGAAACTCAGCCCCAAACTTGGGAGACATGGTCTCCTTCCTAGCGTTTGCATTCTACGGGTTTGGCTGCAGCAGAGGCGAATCCGGGAGAGGGAAGGGTGAGGGGTGGAAGAGGGAGCAGAGCGCACGTTCAGGCCTGGAACTGCGGAGAGAAATTCCGCCGGGGGCTGTTCCTAAGCACCCCAGGCCTTTTAGAAATGTCCCAGAGAATCAAGTAGGAACTTTGCAGGGAGAGGGCAAGCGGAGAAAGGACGACAGGAGAGTAGGAGACTTCTCTAAGTCTCCTGCTTTTACCGGTACTAGACTCTTGATGGCCAGAACCCTGTGATCTGATTTGGTGGCCCTACAAAGAGATTATGACCTAATAGTTTAAGTGGTCCTTCCCACTAGGAAGGAATTGTCTTCTCCAGAGAATCAGTCCTGGTTTTATCCACTAAAACACTAACGAGCTGTATTATTCTTTATAATGGTAAGATTAACACACTTGGAAAAGACAGAAATGACTGAAGAGGTTAAGCGACACTCACAACACAGATATAACTACTGTGAACATTTTTGTGTATATCCACCCAGTCTTTTTCTAGTTTTGTGCATTCATATTTTTATATATATATAATTTTACAGAATTGTCATTCGGTACATATTTGTGTAATTTTTTCACTTAACATTATCAAAAGCATTTTCTTATATTCTTAAGTATTCTTTCAAAGAATAGTTTTTGACTGCATAGTCTGTCCAAAAATGGACCATAATGTATTCATTCTCTTATTAGGCATGTTTGCTCTTTGTAGCTTTTTACTGATACCTATCGATGTAACTCTATGTGCGTGTCTGATAATTTCCTTAGAATAAAATGCTGCAAGTGAAATTACTGAGACTTAAGGCATATACAATCGAAAAGCTTTTGATACAAGTTGCCCAATTGCTTTCTAGATAGGTTTACTAATTTCTATCCCTTCTTACAGGTCTAGGACTGTTCTCTTTTTCATGCTATCCCTGATCCAGGGTATGATAAAACAAAAATGTTACCACCTTGATACATGAAAAATGGCATCTAATTTCTGTTTTAGTTTGTAGTTCTTTGATTATTAATTTCTTTTTATACACTGACTGGTTGTTGTATTCTCCTGTGAATTGGCCAACTATGTCCCTTGCCTGGTTTGCTCCAGGTAGGATATACTCAAAATATATTGACTTTGTGGTATAGTGGGAGCCAGTTCTCCCAAGGCCTGTGTCTCCCAGGAGGGTGACCATCAGAATTATAGGCCTTCAGAGACAGGGATTAGACGCTGGAGAATAGAAAAAAATAAAATATGAGGAGCCTTTCAAGTCTCACCAACTCTCTGGATTCTCACCCTTGCCTCTATATCATTAACTCGGTGGGGAAAGAGGTTGAAGAGCTGATAGCTCAGTGCTTGAGTTGACAAGTAGTTGTACATTTGATTCATCAGCAGCAATACCACTTCTTGAGGACTTCCTATGTGCCAGGTTTGGGTGAGGTATCTTATGTGTACATTATATCACTTAATCACACCCCACCCCAGAAAGCTTTAAGATATTTTCCATTTTGCAGATGAACAAACTGAGGCTTAGTGATGTGAAGTATTCCACACACTCTTGTAAGTGATAGACCTGGATTTTAAACCTGGGTGTAGTTGACTCAGATTTTGGCCACTCCTCTACTGCCTCTGCATTATGATACAGCGAGTACGCTCTCAAAGGAAGAGGAGTGAGGTCAGCATGAACATGAATACACCTTGCAGCCCTTCTGCCCACAGTACCAAGTTTATGCCATTCCCTCTTCTTTTACTATGAACTGCACTGCTGGTGGAACGGTGACTCTTTGGGGCATATGCCTGTTTAGATTTGCCCCTCAGACAAGGAGGCGGTGGAAAAAAACCCCGTCTGTAGCTTGGGGAGATGTCTGTACAAATTGGCTTCTCTGTGTGTCACTGTGCCTTTTTGTTTTCTAGATAAAAAATCTCAACCGTGGTTTTGCCAAATTGAAGGCACTTGTGCCGTTTCTTCCCCAAAGCAGGAAGCCCAGCAAAGTTGATATCCTCAAAGGTGCAACTGAATATATCCAGGTTCTCAGTGATCTTTTGGGAGGAGCCAAAGACTCAAAGGTAAAGGTGTAAGATTTTAGAATAATGATAGCCACCATTTATTAGGCCTTGTCTGTGTATGAGACACTGTGCCAAGTGATATATGTATACTTTCCAGTGAATGTTTATAACAATCCTCTGGGCTATTTTTATGACCCTCATTTTACAGAGAAGGAAAACAAAATATAGTTAAGGGCCACACAGCTATGAAAAGTCAGGACTGGGATTTGAACTCAGATCTACATGAGCTTTGGAGTTGAGTCCCTGACCATCTATACTTGCCTATGGTCACTGTCCGGGGCACCTAGTTCCTGACTGTTGAATCTTTGATAGGATTTCTACAGCTGGACATAGGAGGGGGCTTTCCTAAAAGCACTGTGGTGTTTTCCCTACAGTAGAATGCACATCAGACAGGACACAGGAAGGTAGAGGCATTTCTTTCCCCAAGGGACCTCTCTTAGGAGAGACCCTCCCTGAGGCCAGCTGAAGAGCTCAGCAATGGTCTGGTGATACCAGTCTCATGGGATCTTGCAACCATTCAGCAGGAATGACACAAATGGCCCTGTAAACTGAAGTATCATAGTGTCACCACCATTTTCAGAGTGGGATAGCTCAGAAGTGTCCATTAGGCAGAGTAAAGTGTGGGCTGGTTTTATGGACTTGTTCCAGGGAGAGGCAAACATTGATGGGCTGAAAATGAATCAGTCATCTGGGGAGACAAAATAGGAAGAGAGAAAAGACCTTAGAAATGAGCCCTAAGCAACTCTGTTGGTAGGAGGAAGGAATCATCATTAGAATGTGGCAAGAAGGTAGAGGAACAAGATGGGGTCATAAAATGGAGGAGGAGAGAACCTTAGGAAACTAAAGGTGAGGAGTATGAGAGGTTACAGAGAGGCTGAAGAAGGCCAGGACTGGAGAAGGCACCATGTCTAGCACTTGAAAGGTGAAAGAGAATTGGGCTGGGCATCAACTTGGAGGAGACTGAGGGTGCATGATTGGTAAATATCTGGAATCCAAGCAGATTCAGAGGAAAGTGGCAAACTTCAAGTCCATTTAACCTAGCAGTTCCAAGTGGAAAGAAGAACCACCCCTGCCCCCCCACTCCCCTACCCCCTGCCCAAAAAAAAAAAAAAAAAAAAAAAAAAAACCGCAGAAAAGTTGTTAGATCAAGTGAAGGTCTTTCCTAAGTAGAAATTTGATCATGTTTAGGAACAGAAGGGAGACACTAGAGGGAAAAGAAACAATTATCCTAGAAATTTGGAGCAGAAATCTCCAGGTATATCATAGGACCGTTGAATATTTTTTTCTTCTCCATTAGTCCTAGCCAGGTGACTGCTAGGAAGCTACATTCTGCAATGGCAGGAGTGGATTGTCCTGCTGGCCAAACTGGTTGGATTGTGGTATGGTCACAGTGTTTGGGCATGTGCAGGTGGCTACCTTAGTTTTTTCTTGCATGTTAATTGTGTAACAGAAGTGCTTTGTTCATTGTAAAACATACAATCTGTTCCATGCCATAATATGTTTAATGCAGTTACCTATTGCATAACATTTTAAGATTATAGGAGAACAAAATACGGTCAATTGAACAATGCTTTTCTCTCCATGATAACTTAAGCATTGCCCTTATCACTTAAATGAAACCTCATCCATTAAAACTTTGAAATGTATTGGTTTAAGTCATCAGAATCTTTCTGTCTTATTATACTGTTTGACAACTAAGTATGGTTTCCAGAAACAAGACCCAGATGAGCAGAGCTACAGTAACAACACTTCTGAACCACATATATCCTCGGCTAGAGAGCTATCAAGAAACGTCACCCAACGTATCAGCTGTGCTTTCGGCTTGAAGAATGAAGAGGAAGGGCCTTGGGCAGATGGTGGCAGTGGTGAGCCGGTGCACACTTGTCGCCAGGGTGTGATGTCTACGACTGAAGTTATCTCCCCAACCAGAAGTCTGGTAAAATATTCCTTCTTAAATAGCCGTACAGATATCAAAACCGTAACATGTATACTTTGAGATATGAGTAATTTTTCCATGCTAAAGTGTGATTAAAACAAGATAATTTTATGAAAGCCCTTGGGTGGGGCAGTGGGGTTTACTAGTTTGGGAGATTATTTTGTTTCTAAATTAACTGGTAAGCAGCTCCAGGGAAGGGGAAACTCCTCCAGAACCACCCAATACAGACCTAAGTTTATCTTTTAAATGATCCTATTTAATCCATCGAAAGGTTTTCTGGACTCCGTGGTCTCCAGAAAAAGAAGTAAGTAGCTTGCCATACATAAAGATGCATGCTTGGTGATACTTTTGTGTGTGTGTGTTGGTGGGGGTTGGAGCTGGGAGGGTGGTGCTGGTTGTAAGACAACATTTTAAATGAAATAAAGCAGTTCATTGTCTCTTACTACTTTGTCAACTAAAGAGACAGCTGGAAGTGGCAGCATGCTTCTCCAAGTCCAGAAGTGGACTTTTTGCCCTTGCCGTGAACTGGTATACATAAATGAGGCCCCCTGCTCTATCCTACCCAGCAACACAATTACTATTGAAATAAGAAAGGTGTATAGGAATGTGCAGTAAGCATGCCGTAACAAACATGTTACATGGTATGATATAAGCCACAGCGAGGGCTGTGGAGTCACAAATGGTGGTTGGAGGGAGGCAGTTTAGGGGAGCAGTTGAGAGTATGCTCTGGGAACAGACTGCTGAGGTTTAAGCCCTGGTTTTACCACTTGCTAGCTGTGTAATCTTGCATGAGCTACTGAATGCCTCTAATCCTCAGTTTTCCCCATCTGAGCAATAGGTATAATAATTGTACCTACCTTGTATATAAGATAACTAACTTCAAATGATATCATGTCAGCAAAGTATCTGGCATAATACCTGTCATGTCACTTGGACAGACACCAAATTTTCTTGACTCATGAGCAATCAACATTGATTAGTGAGCAATAATGGGCCACAGGTATTCCAGCTCTGTAGCCAGTGTTTCGAGTTTTCTCACTTGGCTCTCACCAATGTTGTGCTCTGATTTGAGGTCCTACAGGCTTCTTGCTGGCTGGTGGGGGCGGGGGGTGGGGAAAGCGGTGGTGGGCGGCCTTGGCTTCCATTTCTGATTTGATTAATGTGTTCTAAGGATTCATTTGTGCATATGCTCCGTCTAGATTTTCATATTCTGACCACTTGAGATATAAGATTTCCCAGGCCAGTCAACTCATAGGAGACAGAATTTCTGTTGCTGCTACGTAAGCTGACATGGAATGACTAAGACCAAGAACAATAAAAGAGTGGGGCCAGGTGCGGTGGCTCACAATTGTCATCCCAGCACTTTGGGAGGCCGAGGTGGGCAGATCACCTGAGGTCAGGAGTTCCAGACCAGTCTGGCCAACATGGTGAAACCCCATTGCTACTAAAAATCGGGCATGGTGGTGGGCACCTGTAGTCCCAGTGACTCAGGAGGCTGAGGCAGGAGAATCACTTGAACCCGGGAGGGGAGGTTGCAGTGAGCTGAGATCATGCCACTGCATTCAAGCCTAGATGACAGAGTGAGACACCATCTCAAAAAAAGAAAAAAAAAAAAAGTGAAGAAATGACCTGATCTAGACCTCGAACCTGACTATCTAAGAAGAGTAATGCTTCTGCAAATGCTAGTATCAAGGTGAAAATCTGACTTGCACTTAATCCTCATGGATCCTCCTCAGGTAGGTATCATCATGTCACTCTCATGGTGAGCCACCTGGCTACACCTTCCTGCCAGTCCTGTTGGACCCGGGCTTGGGCAGGAACCTCTGCAGTAGCAGAGCAGGCCTGTGCTTGGCAGTACTAGTAGCAAGTACGTATGATGGGAGGTCCTGGTTTTCCGAGGATAATTGATCCTGGGCATAGGCCGTGTACAGTACACTAATTTAGAGTGGGGACTAACGTTTCCTAGTAAAAGCCAGAAATGTTCTGACTGGAATTTTCTTCAAAAAAAGGGAATAAAACACTTAATTTTTCGTCTTTTTAGCCAACCAAGTTTGTTGTTAATTGGAAGAGTGCTAATTTGTAGAATGAACCAAGGAAGACTCGACGTTTGAGATTTTTATAGACAGTGCATGTCACTACTGTCAAGTATGATTTCTGAGGCCTGATCGTAAAGAGTGCCTTTTTTTTTTTGCAGAAGCATTCCAGAATTTCATCAGTTTTGTCAAGGATTTTTCATCCTTTTACATTCAAATCATTCTTTTTTGTTTGTTTGTTTGTTTTTTTGTTTGTTTGTTTGTTTTTCTGAGACAGAGTCTCGCTCTGTTGCCAGGCTGGAGTGCAGTGGCACGACCTTGTCTCACTGCAACTTCTGCCTCCCGGGTTCAAGCAACTCTCCTGCCTCAGCCTCCTGAGTAGCTGGCTCACACCACCACGCCCAGCTAATTTTTGTATTTTTAGTAGAGATGGGGTTTCACCATGTTGGCCAGGCTGGACTCAAACTTCTGACCTCATGATCTGCCCATCTCAGTCTCCCAATGTGCTGGGATTACAGGCGTGAGCCACCGTGCCTGGCCATTCATTTTTAAAATTTAAAAAATTAGTCTGAAACAATAGTCAACTTATAGAAAGTTTGCAGGTGCAGTACAAAGAACTTTTTTCCTGATACATTTGAGGGTCAACCTGATGTCCCATCGCCCCTAAGGCTTCAGTGTACGTTTCTTACAAACAGGACATTCCCCTGCGTAGCCACAATGCAACCACTAAGTCTGGGGATTAATGTTGTGTTACTGCCATACAATCCTCAGGTCCTATTCAAGTTTCACTAGTAGTCTCAAAAATGTCTCTTCTAGCAAAAAGACCCAGCTGAGAATCATGAATTACATTTAGTTGCCATGGCTCCTTCAGTCTGGAAGGAGAGTTTCTTGGTGCTTCTGTGACTTATAACCATGTCACGTTTGGAGCTTACAGGCCAGTTGTTTATTATAGAGTGTGTCTTGATCAGCATTTGTCTGTTTCCTTTCGATTAGATTCAGATATGCATCGTCAGCAGGAATAACAAAAGTGATGCTGTTTTCTACTCATTGCATCCTGTTACATGGGGCGGATTTTGATTTATTCTATTTCTAATGATATTCACTTTGATCACTTGCTTAAAGTGGTGACTGCCAAGCCTTTCACTTTAAAGTTAATCTTTTTCTTTTGTAATTAATATGTATTTTGTGAGGAGGTGCTTTGAAACTACGTAAATATCTCATTACTCATCAAACATTCTACATTTATCAAATTTGTAATTTAGAAATAATTATAGATTCACAGGAAGTTGCAAAAATAGTACAGAGAAGTGCTGTGCATCCGTAGCCCAGTTTTCCCCAATGGTTGCATCTTCTATAACTATAGTATAATAATATCAAAACCAGGAAATTGACATTGGTACCATGTATGCATAGTTGTATGTTGTTTTATCACATGTGTGGATTCATGGAATCACCATTGCAATCCAGATGCAGAACTGTTCCATCACCACAAAGATCTCCTTCATGCTGCCCCTTTAGGGTCACACCCACACTCTGCTCCCAACCTTCCATTCTTCCAAACTCCTGGACGTCACTAATCTGTTCTCCACTTCTATAATTAATCTTGAGAAGGCTATAAAAATGGGACCATACATTATGTGACTTTTAGAGATGGTCTTTTCCCACTCAGATGATGCCCTTGAGATCATCCACATTGTATAAATGGTCTGTTCCTCTGCTTTGTGCCGAGTAGTAATCTGTGGTGTGGATGCGCCACAGTTTAACTGCTCACTTAAAT